CTAGGCGTCATCATTGAGCGTCTTTGAATATTGAGTTAAGTATCATTTCGAGGCATTTGACTTTAATGTTAGAATGCAGCGTATCGATAGATACGCTTTTCTTTTTCCTTCATCCATTTGCATGAATGAAAAATGACAGAGTTTTAGAGTTTGTTCAATGTCTTACTTTTGAACTTTTTAGGGACGAACTCGCTAGGGAACGAGAAGAAAAGGCACGTTTGAGACAAGAGATGCTCAATCTGTCAGATCTCCAGCAGCGAAAGGTTAAAGCGGCTCTTTCAGACTTGCTTTCCGGAAAATTTATCCTGTTCCTCAATTTCAGACAAATGATACATCTGTGCCTCCATTACCTGATGACATAGAGGAAAGGAAGAAAATTTTCGATGAAACTGTCGAACGTGTTCAAGAAAAATTCTTCGCATATCATAGAGAGAATGTTTGCGCAGATAATGAAAAGGTAGTTTATCAATCCTTAATTTTCATTTTACAGGAGCTTCTACTGCTTTCATAGTCTTGTTTTCTATTTTAGGAAATTATGGAGTGTCTGAAAGCGAATCCTGGCCGTATCTTGCAATGTGCTCACCTCACCGATCCTTACGAGAAATGCGTGGCTGATTTTCGTCAGGAAGTACTTAAAGGAAATTAGCTCAATAATAATGTAATATTCAATAGGTCGTCCTTACGCACTTTACTATTAAGTACTAGTAAGGTAGGCGAGAGTAGTTAGGGGACATCGGACTGTATCATACTGCCTCGAGATTTTACTTTTTTTATGTCGATGTACCGGTTGGCATTTGTTCAATGAGCTGTTTGAATAGATACGTTTTTTTTAATATTGTAATGAATAAACAGATTCTCTGAGAAAGTGTTTGCGTGTTCAGTCGTCATAGCCTCTTTCTACCTTTTTTCAAGGTTTTTCCTGGTTTGCTAGTATAACTTTTGCTTAGGTATGAAATGGGTTTACGGGTGCATTTGTGTGCTAGCCATTTGTCTCTTGTATTTTCGACCATACTTTCGCCCCCGTCCGGCAAACGACTATGTCAAGTGGACATTGAGGAAATCCAACTTCACTTTCGAAACTCACAGGTACGCGTAATTTTTTGAGAGCGCGATGTTTCTATTTTTGCCTTGCAGGTTTGAGAACTGTACATGGGCAAC